CGGACAAAAATGTGTAGAAGAATAATAAAAAGGAAAAAAAGAAACTTAGAATAACAGTATGTCACCCCAACTCCGTTGAGGGTGCCATAAAAAGAAACGTAGAATAACAATACGTCACCCCAACTCCGTTGAGGGTGCCATAATAAATAGATTTGCCATTGCAAGCAATAGCGGATGTCATCATTACTGTGAGGTTTCATAAAGTTTGAAGCATTTTGAATTTTTTGAAATTTTTGCTGCAGTTTCCATGGCAACATAGTAGTACCAATCATTGTCAAAATCTTACTAAACCTGTATATAGTGGACAACTACACTGTATTAAATTTTAATGATTTTTAGGTTTAAGCATATCCAAATAATTCACCAAACCCTAACATTTTATTTTTTCATCTTATTTCGGTTTCCATGGTGCCTTTGGCTCTGAGAAAACTCCCGGACAAAATTAGGTAGAAGAATAATAATAATAACTAGATTTGTAATTGCTAGCAATAACAGATGGCACCCTTCCCCCATTGCCAGGGTAACGGCAGCCATTTTGAAAATTCCAAAGTCAAAGAGGTATCTACACATGCCAATTAATATTATTGTAAAGTTTCATTGAGTTTGGAGCATTTTGTTTTTTTTATACATTTTTGCTGTTTCCATGGTAACGGCAGCCATTTTGGAAATTCAAAAGACAAATGGGACATTTGCATATGCCAGTCAATATTTGTGTGAAGTTTCATTAACTTTGAAGCATATTGATGTTTTGGACATTTCTGCTGTTTCCATGACAACGACAGCCATCTTGGATATGCCGACCCTTATTTGCACATCTGCACATGGTTGTTAACATTCTGGTAAAGTTCCATTAAGATTAGTCCATACAATTCCGAGAAAACGTCTGGACAAAAAAAGTGGAAGAAAAATGATAAAGAAAAAGAACGTAGAATAACAATATGTCATCCCAACTCCGTTGAGGGTGCCATAATAATAATAATAATAAAGAAACGGAGGAAAAGCAATATTTCACCCGAAATTGTCGATCGGGTGACATAACAATAATAAAAAGAATGGAACAATAAAAATATGTCACCCGACCTCCGTCAGGGTGACATAATAAAATGAATAAATAAAAAAAGAATGGAACAGTAACAATATCTCACCCGACCTCCGTCAGGGTATAATAATGAGAAAAAAAGAAAAGTAGAATAACAATATGTCACCTCAACTCCGTTGAGGGTACCATAACTAGAATTGCCATTGCAAGCAATAGCGGACGTCACCCTGGTCTGCCCATTGCCATAAACAGCAGGCATTTAGACGTTTTCAAACAGTGATTGCAGATATACATAACAACATATCTAACTGTAAGTTTTGAAAGCGTTTTGAGCGTTCTTTATTTTTAAACAATAGTGCTGTTTCCATGGCAACGGTGGCCATTTTGAAAATTCAAAACCCAAATACCACGTCTATGTATGGTGGCTAACATTTCTGTATAGTTTAAGAAAGTTAAGAGAACTTTGAAAATTTTGCTATTTTTCATCAGTTTCCATTGCAACATCGTAGTTCTAAGGAATCTCAAAATCATCCAAAACATGTATAAAGAGGACAAGTACGTTGTATAAAAAAATGATGATTAAATGTTAAGGCATACTCAAAATATTAACTAACAACTATAATTTCATTTTTTCACTCTTTTCTGTTTCCATGGTAACAGCGACCATCTTGGAAGTGCCAAATTCGACTGCACTTCATATAATGGTGGTTATCATTATTGTATAGTTCCATTACAATTGGTCCATGAAATTCCGAGAAATAGTCTGGACAAAAAGTGTTGAATAATAATAAAAAGAAAAATTAAAAAAAAAAGAATCGGACAATAACAATATGTCACCCGACTTTCGTCAGGATGACATAACTAAATTTGCCATTGCAAGCAATAGAGGATGTCACCCTTCCCCCATTGCCACAAAGCAGCAGCCATTTCGAAAACTTTAAACAGTGAATGCATATATATGCATGGCTATACATCTTTCTGTAAATTTTCAGAGCATTTAGAGCATTTTGGATCATTTTGAAATTTTTGACATTTTTGCAACGGTGACCATTTTGGAAATTCCAAGTCAAAACTCTCATCTATACTTGCCAGTTAACAATCATATTAAGTTTCATAAAGTTTGGAGCATTTTGAAATTTTTGACATTTTTGCTGGTTTCCATGGTAACAGAGACCATTCCCAAAATTTGAATGACAGATGCCACATTGGTACATGGGAGGGAACATGCCATTAAAGTTTCAATGCATTTGACCTACGATTTGAAGAGAGGAAATGCTACTATAAGGTTTTTGGAGAATTTTGACCTTTTTTGCCTTGTTTCCATTGTAACGACAGCCATTTTGGAAATTCAAAAGCCAAATGACACATCTTCACATGCCAGTCAACATTACTGTGAAGTTTCATTGAGTTTGGAGCATCTTGAAATTTTTGAAAATTTTGCTGTAGTTTCCATGGCAACATAATAGTTACAATGATTGTCAAAATCAGTAAAAACCTGTTTATAGTGGAAAACTAAATTGTATTAAAATTTAATGATTCAAAGTTTAGGCAATCTGAAATTATTCACCGAACTCCGAAATTTTATTTTTTCACCTTTTTTCGGTTTCCATGGTGATGGCAGTCATTTTTTAGTTCCAAAGTTGCACTGCAACTCTAAATTCAAGGTTCCTTGTTATAGTGAACTATCATTTAGATTTGCACATCTAGGCATACTGGGTAACATTTCCATAAAGTTTCATTTAGTTGGGTCTTAAAATAAAAGATTTATAATGTTTCACATTTTTACTGTTTCCAGGGTTACAGCAGCCATTTTGAAAATTCCAAGTTAAACTGGAACTCTGCCCATGTCAGTTACCATTTCCGTTTTGGCGACTTAACTAGAAATTTATTTTATTAGATGCCAACATTGTTTCTGGACATTCTATGGCACAACCTTAACCTACAAGAGATTTTGAGTGGGTAGACAAAGCGGAAATTAAACAAATTATAAACTGTGCATATAATTATGATTATGAATATCGGATTGGATGCGATATTGAATATCCAAAATGATTTAACATAAGGACTAAACACTAGATCAATAAATTGTTGAGATTAATAAGGTGCACAAAATAATATCAACATCAAATAACCGCACAAAAGATGAGGTCCGTTCAGGAAATCTTGAATAATATTTATCACTAGGAATGAAATTGAATAATGTTCATATAATTATTAGATTTGCTCAATCCATTGCTTATTAGATATATAGATTTAAATACTATTCTTAGTTCTAAAGCCTTGTCAGCATCAATAACTTTGCTTCTTGGAAAAACTATGGAAACTAAGTGTAAGAGATATGGTGTTAAATTAGTAACCAGTGAAAAACAGGCAACAGGAAAGTTGTTTCGACAAAAATTTTGGAAGCTGTTCATATGATAAAGTCCTCCGGCTTCCACGTTATGTGAAACTACCTATTCTAGGAGCGGCGTGAATCAGATTTGGATAGTAAAAACTTCCAGAGATCTGTCTCTTTCATCTTGAAATAGTATTAAAAGTTTGACTTTTCTATCCTCTACACAAGTATACCCCATTCCTAAATAAATGGCACATTGAAAAAATGTATCCTGCTATTTTTCATAAAAAGAATGGCTAAGTATCTTGTCTTAGGGAGTTATAAATCGTACTTGGTAAAAAAAAACATCGCTCTGATTTAAACAAAAATCTCTGAAACTGACATTACCAAGATGCTTGATTTCTTGAATGACAACATATTTGTTACTTTTTGAGGACGTGTTTTTAAATAAACAATTGGCATTCCCATGGGATTCAACTCTGCTCCTCTTGTCGACTTTTTCCTTTAGTTATACGAGGCTTGTAAAAAATAATGAATAGAAGCTATTATTATCCTTTAACTTCACCTTCCGCTAAATAGATGATGTCCTCTCACTAAATTATTCAAAGTTTTGTGACTATGATGATCGAATTAACCCATTGCACTTGAAACAAAGGATACAAAAAAAAAGTACATTAAGTCTGCCTCATATCTTGATTTACATCTAGAAGCTGACAATGATGGGCAGTTGAGAAAAAAAATTTACGACAAAAGAGATGATTTCAGATTCCCAATTATGAACTTTCCATTTCTATTTAGCAACATACCAGCAGCGCCTGCATGTGGAGTTTATATCTCCCAGTTGATACGATATTCTAATGCTTGCGTTTCCTACCATGAACTCTTTGGTAGAAGGTTGTTACTCACAAGGAAGCTGTTAAACCAAGAGTTTCAAGTGGTGAATTGAAATCATCCCTTCGAAAAATTTTACAGACGCCATCACAAGTTGGAAAACTGTTACGGAATATCTGTTTCACAGATGACGACGGATATGTTCCAGTCGCCGTAACCACAACCCTTCCCTCTTTTTCCCCGAATTTGACCTACCGAATTAGACTTATCGACGGGTTTGTACTTACATGAGCAACACGACGGGTGCCACATGTAGAGCAGGATCTGATTATACACATCTGGAACACCTGAGATCACCCCCGGTTTTTGGTGGGGTTCGTGTTCTCATGCAGCCTTTAGTTTTATATGTTGTGTTTTGTATACTGTTGTTTGTCTCTTTGGTCCTTTTCTTTTTTTGGAATGACGTTGTCAGTTTATTTTCGATTAATGAGTTTGAATATCCCTCTGTTATCTTTTGCCTCTCTTTTACAGATTTATGCAAATCGAAAAAAAGAAGCTTTCAGTTTGTTTGAAAATATTTTGTCACTTACCGTATTGAACGAATGATCGATATTTCAATCCTACTTATACTGGGTCTGTGAGAGTATGGTAGTATGGTAAAAGATAAAACCTAACTTTAGACATGAAATTTCAGAGGTTGATGTTTACATCCATTACACCCAACAGCAATGCGACTTGAGTGAAGGTAGTGCTTCAATCTAAGAAGTGACTAATGAGTTATGATTTCAACACAAATTGAATGCAACGATTATATTTTATATCAGAATATTAAGAAACAATATCATTCGTTTTCCGTTTTTGGTGAGAGTCTGTTTTTAATATCCTGAAAACATAAAAGTAAAATATAGCATAACATTGGCTTCACGATGTTATCAGTTTTTTTGTTGTTATTTGAGCAGTCGTGACAAATTTTCAATTCAGTAATTTTATAATCAGATTTTTTTTTATATAAAGAAACCTTATTGTTTGTCGTAAAAAAAAAACTTTGGTATGATTTATTACTATGGTTAATAATCATTACTAGTATTCAATTTTGTTTTATTTCGACTAATTATTCTGATGATCGTTTATGATAGACTTGTAGGATAACTGGAATAGTTTTGCTATCTAGATTTCATGGTTCCTTTCGAAAAAACACAATTTATGGAATTCTAGGAAAAACAGTTTTTGTGTATGCATTCTAAGGTAATTTTGTTTGGAACTGACGACAACAAATTGTTGATTGGCAATTTTCTGCTAAATTAGGCATGGTGTCCATGTTGATTTATAGTATACAGCAGTGTAGGAAGATGTTAATGAATACCATGTCAACATATCTGCTGTTATCAAACAGATAAATGAAAGCAAGCCAGTCTATGAGCAATTAAAACTATGATCTAACATTGATTTTAAGCTAACATTATCTTACCTTTGCCCTTTCCATATCCATAACCTCCATAACCACCATAACCTCCATAACCACCATAACCTCCATAACCACCATGACCTTCATAACCACCATAACCTCCATAACCTCCATAACCACCATGACCTCCATAACCACCATAACCTCCATAACCTCCATAACCACCATAACCTCCATCAATACCTCCTTCATAACCACCATAACCACCATATCCTCCATAACCACCATATCCTCCTCCAGGTCCTCCAACTTTTACAACAAATATGTTTCTTCCTCCTCTATAACCACCGTATCCTCCATAACCACCATATCCTCCATAACCACCATATCCTCCATAACCTCCGTATCCTCCATAACCTCCGTATCCTCCAGATCCGCTTACAGCGCTACAGATGGCAAACAGTACGCAAATTGCGATCTTCATTCTGCCGAAGACAAAATCTTAATAAATCATTTATTCGGTTTAACTATATAGACAATTGACTATAGTTTGACCAAGCGTGTGCCATTCTGTTTAAGATCATGTAAGGGATCTGTAAACACCATTGATTAAAGGTGGATCGTGTGTGTGCCATTCGGTTAAAAATGGTGAAAGGGTTCATTATTGACTATAGCTTGATCGTGCGTGTGCCATTTTGGTTAAAAATGGTGTAAAGGTTCTGTATACCCTATTGACTTTAGTTTGATCATGTGTGTGTCATTTGGTAAAGTGCGATGTAAGTATTCGGTTTACACTGTTGACAATAGATTCATCTTGCCTATGCCATTCGGTTATAAATTATATAAGGGTTTTGTATACGCTATTGACTTTTGTTGGATCATGCGTTTTCCAATTAGCAGCTCTGTTCACCAAAATATTCTTTCGAGTAAAATTTGATAGCGAATAAGATTAAAATAATCAATACCTAATTGGGATCGTAGAATGCTCTTTTTGCGTATTCAAAAAAGGCCACAAACGTTTGCAAATTTAATATGTATATTAATTCCTTTTGCATGTAAAACATACCGTCTTCTTTCTCTGGTTGTGTATTTAAGTTTATTACTAAGACAATAGATATGCGCCGTTTTTTCTCTGGTTGTGAATTTAAGTTTATTACTAAGACAATAGATATGCGCCGTTTTTTCTCTGGTTGTGAATTTAAGTTTATTACTAAGACAATAGATATGCGCCGTTTTTTCTCTGGTTGTGAATTTAAGTTTATTACTAAGACAATAGATATGCGCCGTTTTTTCTCTGGTTGTGAATTTAAGTTTATTACTAAGACAATAGATATGCGCCGCTTTTTCTCTGGTTGTGAATTTAAGTTTATTACTAAGACAATAGATATGGGCCGTTTTTTCTCTGGTTGTGAATTTAAGTTTATTACTAAGACGATATATATATGCGCCGTTTTTTTCTCTGGTTGTGAATTTAAGTTTATTACTAAGACGATAGATATGCGCCGTTTTATATTATTCCACAAAATAAATATCGGTTTCATCTGTTTCTGATTTATTACAGAATATTTAATTTTCTCAATTTGAATGGAATTACTCCAATGGCGGTTAGTTTCTTAATATTATTGGGATATATGGAAGCAACTTCGTTATATCTAGATAAAATAATAATCAAAACACCAAGGTGTTCTTTCTTAATAAGGTAAACATAGCTTATTTAAATCATAGTTAATAAATTATATTGAATATAAATGAATTAACAAAAATAACAAATGAACAGGTAATTTGAATCTATCGGATATCTTCCTAATTCTGAAAAACAATTTGGAGTAGATTGTTTCAATTGTAGCAGACATTTACAAAACAACACATGTTCGAATGATAATATATCCCAAGACATCTGAACCACACAGTCATATAAGAAAACCCACTGCTACTCAATACTTCGTTAGGACTTCTGCACCATACAGGGATATATGTAAAGACTTCTAGTTGTCGTTTGTTTTTTATTGTTGGGTTGCTGTCTTATTAATATTTACATCGGATCTCTTTTTATTCATATTTATCAAATGAATCAAGCTTGCATTTAGCAGAAACAAATCTTTATCTTTTTTTTCACTTTCTACATTGTATATATTCATGTTCTTTCAAACATTTTCAAGTGTTTAAAAAGGACCTGGTCCACTTCTCACAAATAATATACAATAGTGTTACTTTAAAGTTTTGGTCCTCTTAATCATGCTTTTATTCTAACAAATTTTGAATGTTACAAACTGTTCTACTTAAAACTATTTATACGTTGTTTTAATCTTGATAACTTTTAATTGCCACTTTATGAGTTCTCCTAAAAATAATCAAAACATATCGCAATAGTGATCTTTCTTCTTTAGAACCACATAACCGTGTCATCTGCATATTTAAGTTAAAAATCAAATCAACATCATTGTGAGTTCCTTTTCCAAATCGAAAGAAAAGGACTTCGACCCAGCAATATTTGTTTGTGTTCCAAAAGTACTTAAAGTAATTTAAAAGACACTTAAATGGTTAAACATACCATTTTGTCATTCGATTGGAACATAGTCTTTAATACATGAAATATAGAAGTTAATAGCAGGCATGGGGTAATGCAAATTTGTAATTGTATTGCACGGTAATGAATTACATTTTTCCAAGTAATTGCATGTAATGTGTAATGCAGTAATTTTTGAATTACATGTAATTGTAATTTAATGCATTACTTTAGCAAAAAGTTGTGTAATTTCATGCATTACATTGCATTACATGCATTACTTTTTTTCAAATACTATATATCTTTAACAGATTGATGGAGATTTAACAAAAACAGAAATTAAGATTTCTTGATTAACTAAGAAAATAATCATTTGAATATTAATTTTCTATTTATTTTTCACACTTCACATGAATCACTTGATGGAATAACACAACACTATATATCAAATTTAGTTCTTTTTGTTATTTCATTTTATTTCATATTATTTTCCTTAAAAAAAGAGTGATATTAAAAGCATTACTGTAAAGGTGTTCCATTGTTGTCAAAAGATCAATGAATACCTTGTCATGATTAAATAACAGATAATTGAACATTGTCATAAAACACTAATTAGTTTGTTTTACAATTAATCTTTTCACCATATTGACACTTGCTCATAGATCATAAGCCCTATGTATAATATAATTAGGAAAGATATTCTGAGTAAATATTTTGATTGAAATAATAAAAAACATTGAATGACTTTTGTATATTTAAAAAAGTAAAGTTAACATTAAGTTTAAATAAGTATCAAACTTCATCTCTGTAATTTCTTTAGTGAAATGAGAGATGTATATCTTGAAACATTAAAACCAAAGATAGAAGAGCTATCGACTTTGATAGGTTTTGTGAAACAGTCGGATAGTCAGAAATATCATTTGAAAGTTCAGGCCTGATAGAATGTGCATAAAAGAGGAAACCTTTCGAAACCCTTAATGTACATGAAGGATCATGAAATCTTTCAAAACCATTATGATGTTAAAATGTAATAGTTGTATTGAATAGACTTCTTACACGTCTGACCAAATTCAATACAGTTGATGAATATGCTAGAATCTTTTGTGATTTCATGTTGTTTTTCAAAATGTTTAATTTTTCTTTTCACTATTAATAAACAAATTTACAAAATGTAATGTGTAATTCAATGCATTACTTTGCAAAAGTAATTGTAATGTAATGCATTACTTTGATAAAAGCATGTAATTGTAATTGTAATTTAATGCATGGTTTTGTCAAAGTAATTGTAATATAATGCACTACATTGCAATGTAATTCGCCCTATGTCTGGTTAATAGTCCTTTGTTTTATTAGAATCTTCTATTTAGTTTGTGTAAATAAGAGGATCTTTTCATTTTTAAAGTAGAATAGGTGTTAAAACAAAAGCAAAAAAAAAAGACATTTGAGACAAAATATGAGAAGATAGCGCTTACAAAATTCTTGTAGAAAACTGTTTCTATAATACAAAATATAAAGTTTACTGAACATTCCTTTATAAAATTTAATTATCTGAGATATCGTCTCTTATAAGGCCATATTAAAAATATTGAAGCAATCAAAAAGTATTCTGTATTCTAAAAACAATTGCTTCTTACACTAAAAATGAAGGCCAATTGCTTTTTTGGGGTATTTTACGATCCCATGAGGCAGAGGGCCATCCATAATACCTTAAACATCACTGACGACTGACTTCTTTTGAATGTTTTAGTAATAAGGACTCGTAAAAGAGTAGTTATTTGCCATTTTATTATGAATAAAAACAACTGGTATGATTTTACCGTATTGTTTCATTGAAATATACTCAGCATCTGCATTCATGTTATTATAAAAACGGCCCAAAACCACACAGAGAAGAGCTTCTGTTAATTGTAGCTTTTACCGAATCAACTTCAGTTTCCAGTTTTTAATGTGTTTAACAACAAATATGTTCTTTTTTAATGCGCGTGTTTTAAAGAAAATGAAGCGTGTTGTTTATCAATTGTACGTTAGGATTTTATCAATGGAACAAAGAATAGTTTTCAAGTTCTTTAGAATTGTAATAATAGTATCTTACCAAATATCAAGAACGAAAAATGCAAATATTTCTCTATTTCAAAAGTCAAAGAAAAGTTAAGTACTAGAAGTAGATACAATAGTTGTAAGGAAAGAATAACTTTAGTTGCCAATAATAAACTAAAACTGAGGAAAATATAAAGACTTACTTGATCAGCTTGTGTACAGTGGTCCAGTGATGTGCTGAACGTATGAATCTAGTAGTCTTATATATTGCTCATTCAGTAAAAAAAATAAGATGCATTGTACAATTATCTGTATATCATCACAAATGAATCAAGATTAACTACGCATTTCTTTACGCACAATTGATCAAAAGTTGTTTCGTTGATAAATGTTAAAAAGTCGTATACTGACAAATAAAATCATGTGCATAACAGTGCAGATGAAACCATTGATTGGCGCGCTAAAATATCCCATTGACTGGGTCAGATTAGGTTAACGTTCGTCTGTAACACCAATTACTCACGACGTATTTATTATTTAAACTGTGGGGTCACAAAACGGTCTCAACGCCTAAATAAAATAATTCGCAAAACTAATCAGGAATAAACTTTGTGTTTTGATTTATATTGAATACTTAAACGTTCTTTACTTGTGTTTTTGTTATGTTTTGACAATCAATTTTTGTGATATCGCACGTTCTTTCAGCAAAAACTGGCTTTAAAAGTTACAATGCATATGTTATTATTATCTTTTGATTGGACGTCAAAGCGATTTAACAATTGCGGTTGTCCAATTATGTCATCTTTTAACTTTTATCTGGTCAAAATTTTATTTTAGAACGAATGCATGATCAACTTTAAACAGTGTGCAAACACAAAATATATAGACAAAATATACTTCTGTCCTGTCTTTTTCGTACTTGCAAGTTATTAGACAGTAAAAAAGCTATTTGGATCAAGCCTTGTGAAATTTGCATTTACGTTTTTGAATAGGTAAAATGTATAGTTTGGTGAACTTTTCTGCTAACTACTATACTTGTGAAAAACCCTTGGCAACAGAAACATATTCAGCTTTTTTTTCAATCGACCCAATTTACATAGTAATGGACGACTTCGTACATTTTATGATCGCAAATAAAATATGTATATAATATACTGTGCACTGTAGTTCGTATATTCATGTTTTCTTTTGTTAATGGATTTTCCCGTCTTTCTGGGAGTGATTATTTGTTATTGACTCCTTAAGCTTACTCGCAAACAATTTCAAACCAAGACTTGCATTATAAAAATGTCCAAACAAACCTTGATTTTCCTTTTGTTTAAAGATACATCTCAGCCATAGATAAGGACTTGAATTCGCCAGGTCTTTAATTTCAAGTAAGGGAGTTGACCAAAGTTATATTGCGGACCATTTGCCAGTTTCCATGCGGTATCCGTGTTTTTTCACTCGCTCTGTTCTGCATCCACTCAACTTTCGTGTTTGTCATGACAAGGCCATTTGAAGCTTTCATGCTATACAGTGTGTGTTTTGCTTATTGTTGAAGGTCGTACGGTAACCTTGTAAGTTTAACTTAGCTATTTTGTGTCATGAATTGGTATTGATGTCACTCGTATATTTTTAAATATGAAGAAAGGGGTAGTCCGGTTGTCTTATACGTCAATGAGACACAAAAAAAACGACAAAAAATTGAAAAAAAAGGGGCAACATTCATTCTTCAACAAAAGATTACATCACAAGAATATAAGTTTTGTAAGAAAATGACCAAATTCGTGAGATGTTGTGTAGGACTTGAATAGCCAAGACAAACTGATAAATATCTGAATGAATGAATCGATTTATGTAAAACAAAAATCAAGGTATTAAACAAAAAAAATAAAATGATTTTTTAATTATCCGGAACTCTTCACAAACAAAACCTTCATGTATACATTGAATAAATAGTACGCCACTCTTTTAAAATGATTACAACGTAGAAGTACTTATTCTCGTAATCAATTATAAGATGTTTGGTGAATTACCCCATCAACTTCATGTTTTTTACAATGAATAAACGTATTTTTGGATTATTTAATGATATCAGCTCTGAACATTATTATTCTTTAAAATGAAACTGTTGTATGTGATGGTATAAAAAAATATTTAAAACAAATCTTTTAAAGTTTCATGAAAAGAAAGTTTCATTTTATGTATCGAAATGTGTAACAAGTGATCATTCTTTAAATCCCCACCGGAAGGCCTCTGACAGACTGAGTGAGCATAAAATCATTGTTATCGATAGCCAATGACAAACAAGTTAAAGCTAAATTATTCAGTATTATTACCAACAAAAATTTTACGGTTGTCTTCGCTGTTTTGAAAACGATTCTATTTGTGTAAACGATGTGGTTAAAGGTTGCACTTTGTACATTGTAAATACAACTGTTTCACAAGCCACGCTTCTTTTGGGGAGATATATAATATTCATAGATATGTTAATTTGTTAACGTACTGGTTCCCAGATATGATCTCTGTGTTTCATCTCATAGAGAAATAACTTGAGAATGTTACCAGTATAGAAAAAAATGGTAGCGCCTAAAATTTAATTTTTAGGAGGTCCAAAGGTGGAGGTAGGGGTAGTATAGAATTTTAGTATAAGTTTAAACTCTTAGAAGTTCAGGGCATATAAATGTTGAAAATATGCCGCACAGCCCTATATTTTGACCTTTGAATAAAATAGAAGGGCATATCAACTTTCCGTTCTGGGATATAATTTTTCACGAAACTTCCTAGTAAAAGTGTTACAGTTTTAGCCGCAAAGGGAGTTCCTATGGGAAATAACATTGTCTATATTTACAGAATTGCAACCCAAAAAGATCAGAAAATACCACTTTAAATCCACCAGCTTCATTTCTTCTCATATACTGTTGAAGCATAGAAAACGATGTTTTAAGATAAGGGAAATTTAAAATAAATAAAAAGTAAACTCGATAAAATAAAATTAACGTAAAGCAGGGCTAATACGACTTCATGGAAATAGGTTTAAAAGATAGGGATATGAACCAAAAAAGATGCTCTGATTTGTTTATATCAAAATGACATTTACCCATCAATACAATTAAATCTGCAAACCCACCTACAGGTCAGCTAATGATCTCCAACGTCAGACAATTCACTACCTTTATCACCCTTATCATTGCCCAAATTCAAAAAAGACAAGTTTTAAATAAATGTCTAAGAAACTATCTGAAACTGCCAACACCAAGTTTTTTCAAATAAAAAATCCCCCAAAACAACATTTTATATAAATAAAATCAATCACTGACACTGTTCCTGGCTAAGTACAGAACAAATCTGGATGGTCAAACTTTTGTGAAGTACTCAACCCTTCCCTTTATTTTGTTTTATCTTGATAAGCGATGAAAGAAAACTATAGAAGATCAAATATAAAATGACGCATTTTTGTGCTTCATCACCAGCAGTATCCAGGCTAGCATCCTGCAGTTGCGAGCATAGTATTACGTTTTCATAACCTTGCTCAACTTAAAGGGTATCCTGTGCATATTTTAGTTTTAGAACACATGCTCTAGATAGACTAAGTCTGAAGTATGTGCACATATAAACTTATCTAACACCACCACATGTTGTGCCCATACTGTTTGTGTGTCAGTAATACGTCAGGCTATCTGAACCATGTTCTTTGGTGTTTGTGTGGCCGTACTCAGTCAGACTATCTGAACCATGTTCTTTGGATTTTGTGTAGACGTACTAAGTCAGACTATCTGAGCCATGTTCGTTGGTGTTTGTGTGCCCGTACTGTCAGGCTATCTGAACCATGTTCTTTGGTGTTTGTGTATAGCCGGAATCAGTCAGGCTATCTGAACCATGTTCGTTGGTGTGTGTGTGTCCGTACTAAGTCAGGCTATCTGAACCATGTATGTTGGTGTTTGTGTGTCAGTAATACGTCAGGCTATCTGAACCATGTTCTTTGGTGTTTGTGTGGCCGTACTCAGTCAGACTATCTGAACCATGTTCTTTGGATTTTGTGTAGCCGTACTAAGTCAGGATATCTGAACCATGTTCGTTTGTGTTTGTGTGGCTGTACTGTGGCCGAAAATGGACCATATCCAGAAATCAACGCAACTTTGCTTATTTGAATATTATACTAAAGAAATCGGATACGGGTCACGGAAATTATATTGAAATGATAGGGAATTTTGAAAACAATGTCTGTTTTAACTTTAATTTAAGTGATAGACAGGTTGCGGGGACAGAAAATAAATATACACAACAATATACACCATTTAAACGAAACATAATGACTGTCGTTGCAAAAATCAAGGTTCCTGAGCTATTTTAAAAATCGAAGCGAGAGGCTTTTAACATTGCAGTATAAAATACAGGCTAAAATTGCTGAAACGTCAAATTTGCAAACTTCGTGTTGAAAATTGGCTAACAAGGTCATTACAAAAACAGATTGCGGGGATGAAACTTGAAACTTGAATGTCCAAAGAATAAGACAGTCCAAACCTTGTATGTGTAGTCGTTGAACTCTAGGTTCTCACGTAAAGTTAAAATGCCCCTATTTCAAGAAGAATAAACTCACGAAAACACGAAAGATTCACTAAATTCGGTTCATTGTTTTGGTTTTGACCGCCTGACAACTTTACGGAAATATCAGAGTGATTATAAACAAGGACTCTGTGACGGGCAACTTATAATATCCGTGTTTTAAAGACTTTAATGATATCAAGCCAGTCCAGTTCAAACTATTATCACGTGGTACAATTCACATTTACATGTTATGAATATTAATTAGCAAAAGTACTACTAATTTCTGGCTATGCTTAGTCTATCTCACGGATTTTTTGGCATACATCTAGAGCATGAGTAACCCCAAATGAAAATTGAAAAAAAATTATATATGTGTAACTGTTATACTTTCTGGAGTTTAGAAAATTAAAGATCCGTAAAAAAAAGAAATAAATGTATAGAATATACGCAAATAAATACCGTCAAAATATTTCATCAATTGATTTAAATTATTATTTTTCGGAATTCTTTTCTATGAATTCCCTTTAAATGTCAATGCCACTGTTTTTTTATAATTTTAATTGATAAACAGTTTCCTCAAGGGGTCACCGATTCGTTAGTTGTATGCATTGTTGAATCTTCTGCGCATCGCGTAAAAGGCAGAAAAGGCTAAATCTTCTACGTTTTATATTCAACGAAACGGAACTTTCATTTTTAAAGAAAAAAATCGTTGGACAAATTTCA